TTATAGATATATTACATAATATACATAATCATTCTCGTTAACATTTCTCGAATTGATTAAATAAGATATGTTTTTGTTTTTTTTTTTTTTAACGAATAAATTCTTTACTTAAACTCAATTTGTAGAGACGAAAATATAATAGTGAAATAAGAGAAAATTTAGATATTTGATTTAACGTTCTCATTTCTATTTTTTAATTTCTATTTTTTTTCTTATTTTTGTATTTTTCTTCAATAAAATTAAAAAATAAAAGATATTTGTCAAGAAGATTCGTACCTATTTAAACATATATGTCAAGAAGATTCGTACCTATTTAAACATATATGTCAAGAAGATTCGTACCTATTTAAACATATATGTCAAGAAGATTCAGTACCTATTTAAACATATATCAAAATAAGTCGCAATACAAGTATTACGACGTGTTGCGACTTCATCCTATCGAATAGATAGTGACATAAAATCTTCTTATTGAAAAAAATTTGCATATAAAAAAATAGCATGGAAGTTAAGTTGCTAAGTTACTTTAGAAAATGAAATTAGTCAATAAATTTTAATGATATGAATCAAGAATTTTGTTGTATGAAATAAATAGCTCGTTCATCGATTGTTTATTTTAGTTTGAAAAATGATGCTAATGTTGAGATGATAAATGAATATCGAAAAGATAATAAAGGAAAAAGCGAATCATCAACTAAAATAGAAATAAAATAATACCATCATTAAATGATAAGGCCTTTCTTAGTCGAGAGATAATTTTGATAAAAAGGAAATTATATTAAAAATATCATAAAAGCGAAAATTTCGCTTAATTTTTCTCGATTTCCTTGTTTTCAGCCAATGTTTCTTTTCATCTTGAGTAAAACCTTTTATTATGCTACCATAGTAATCTCAAGATTAAGTGATTTGAGTGATCAATGTTAGCAATCGAATATCATACAGATATTTTAGGAATGAAATGATATTAAATCAAATATCATACATTTCATCAGATTTAGAATAAATTTATTTTTAAAAATTGAATTTAATAATTTAACAAAATTGAGCAAATTTTGATAATTTAAATAATAAATAAAAGGAATAACTATTAAAAGCATTTATTTTTAGTTATTTATCTTTAATATTTATTATTATCTGAAAAACTAACTTTACATAAATAAGTAATTAGAAAAGTTCAAATATTATCAGCAATTATTTATTATCAATTTATAATAATTGTGAAGTAAAAATTTAGCATCGATGCTTATCTTCTTGCATTAATAATTTTGTTAAAATTTACTTTTTTTTTTTCCTTTTAATATTTTATTCCTACTGATATACTGATACACTGATATCTTTTCCTATCAGTTTTTTACTGAATATCACTAATACGAATGAGAAGTATGAAATTGAAGACGAAGGTAAAACATATGGAAGAATCTTGAGAGATATGTAAATGGATGGATTCAAAATGGAAGCGTTTCGTCTAAGATAAATTAGATAATGCTTGAAATGTTGTTATTTATTACTGAATCTACAATTAATTAAATAAATGAATCATTGAAATGTAAATAAGTAGCAACGAATCATACATTATTTAACAATTTTGTTACTTTATTATCCAAATAACCAGTCATTTATTCATTAATAACTTCATTTATTCCTATCACATGTCATATTTACCGTAGATTCCACTTTTTTTTTACATATTACTGTAAAATACATAATATTTACTGTAATTTCGAAAACTTCACTACATCAAAGTATAAATCATTGGAATTGATTTAAATTCATTTCTTCAATTCTAGTATTTACCGTAATTTTGGAAGCTTCACTATATCAAAGTATAAATCATTGGAATTGATTTAAATTCATTTCTTCAATTTTAAAAGTTTATATGAAAATGTGTTTGCAATTGGAATCGAAGAGAATTGAAATTCAAAAAAATTTTAAATTTAATTTCAATTATTATGGTTTAATAGAAAGTCTATTCTATGTGATAAATGAAAAGGCCTTTTCATTTCTAATAGCAAAAAAAAATTTTGAAATAATTTATCAAAAAGGTAAATCAAACAAGAAAATAATTAATTTTAAAAAATCAAAAATTTAATTTAAACCGCTGGATCGAATTTGAGTTGTCGGATCAATTGCTGGCACCTGATTGTCGAGTTGAATCTCAGATGTCGTCAATAACTGCTTCTGCTTGATTGTTCGAAATATCTAACTAAGTATTACTGCAAATAAATAAGAAAAGAAGATTACAGTAAGTTTTGATAATTTGCTGTAATCTAATTTATCATTAAAGTCACACCTTCCTTAATTACCTTATGAAAATGAATATGAATGTTAATTGGACCAATGAAAATTGTATAAATTTTAATTAAAATTGATGTCTTCATATCTGGAAAGATGAACTTAGTATCAAAAAAATCGAAATATTTTTATAAAATTTATAGATATGACGAAATAATCAATGAATCATCGTATTAATGATTCATCATATTATAGAAATATCTTGATATAATGATCAGGCTTTTGACCTTTATGGTATAGTGAAAATATTGTAAATTATATTATGCTATGGTGACATGAAGTAAACAAATTTGTTTTGCATTTACATGTTGCAAATTATGCTGGGGTTAACATATTGTAAACAAACTATTACGAACATAAAGGATCAGGAGATCAATCAGTGCAATTCAAAACAATCATAATCATTCGAGCGAATAGAAATTTTCAGAATGAACGATCAATACAGGTAGAAGGAATATAAATATCAATTTCAAGAATAATTCTTCGACTGAACAATAACGACAAAGGAAAGCTAATAATTGAATTTGCTAGTGATATCTCCAGATAATGTTTATCTTTAATCTATCAGGAATAAATTTCTTCGTCAATTTCACTAATATATCTATTGTTTCATTAATTGATAATTTTGTATCAAAGATAGTAGCTCAATAGTGATATGATAAAATTTAAAATCAAAGTATATGATAATATCTAAAAAGAAGAATTAGAAAGAAAGAACATGAAATTATCCTTGCATATAATGTAATCAAGATGCTAGTTACATTTCTTTATATCATCAATCATCCAAAGCAAAATTTCGCATAAATAACAACCTGATTTCTTTCTCTTCGTTGTCAATAAATATAAGAATTTATTTATTTATCAATTGCACTTTATGAAATTGTGTATGTATATATGTATGTGTATAATCTAAATTGCGACTTTTCGAAAAGTCAACGAAAATCGCTCAAAAAAAACGTAAACAAACGAATTCAGCAAGTGAGCAGACTGATTGATATATATTATTACTAAAATCGTTTTTATTATTCTAATGAAATGAGGAATTATTAAATAAACTTGAATTAAACCTATAAAAAATGTAATCGCAAGAAGAAATATCGTCGCTTCGTTTTGTCTCTTTGAATTTTATATTTTCATAAAAATTGCTCGAATATGATAATATTTTTAAAAAATGTTTAGATTTGTGATAGAAATTTCAAATTCTTGTCTGATTCAGAATCCATTGAATCATAAATTCATACAATTATTCTTTTGTAAAATTCTGTCGAAGGAAATGATTGTTTGATAGCAATTGTTAATCAGTTCGAGAAAATTGATTGTTTCGATTAACAATTATCAATTAATTTAATTGATTTTAATTATAAAAGAAATTATAAAATTGTTAATGCATAAAGCAATTTTTGCTGATTTTTTGCATAATTTTAGCATATAGCAAAAAAAAGTTGAATTTTTTGATTAAAAATTGCTTTTTCGTTTTCAACTTTTCGGGACAATTTTAATTCTTTCTTTCAATATATTCTTTAATGAATTAATTAGAATATTAATTTAATACTTAATAATATATATTATTCTGCTTGATTATTAATAATTATTAATTAAAGATATGTAGAGATATTTGAGTGAAACATTTGATAATATTGTATATAGGCATTTATTCAAAATCATTATTAGATTATAATAATGAAATTAAATCCCTAAATATTGAAATATTTTAAGTATTTAATTTAAAATTATGTCACAATAAATTAGTTGATAATTAATCAATTTTGGATAATTGGTATGATTCATAAAAATTAATGCCAATTAATACGCTGATTATAATATCAATTTAAGTACAGTATTAATCAAATTATTATGATAACAACTGATAACAAACATAAATCAATTTGCTGCAATTAAATTCATTAATAAGCTTTGAGATATTGCTAAATTTAATTTTAATTGATATTGGGAAAATGTATAATGAAAAATTTGACATAAAATAATATTTACTTTAGAAAGATATTAATAACAGATAGTCAATGAGTATTTAAAAACCTAATTTTAAATATTTTTGAGACTAATATTTGAGGACTAATATACTAAAATACAGGTTGGCATATATCCAAAGTATTGAATGTTTATTTGGGAACAAAATATTGGAGCTGAACAAATATTCATCAATGAATTGCACTTTATTATATATTTTCCATCATAGTTGCAAAATGATAATATTCTACTGATAAATATCGCATTCCATTATCGGGGCCTTCTGAATCTCGATATTACTCATCTACAAAATCTTACTAAAGTTTCTTTTGAAGTTATGTCTGTTTTCTAGTTCTATAACAATTCCCAATTAGAATTGCTAGGTTTAGCCAAATTATGCGATAATAACATATTGGGTAAATGATACTAATAATTTAGAAAAGATGGCCCAATATAGTCGCTCAATGCCAAGAAGAAGAAGCAATGAGCCATATTTGTGAACTATCACACCAATACTGACATTGAAATGGCACCGCACAGGTAAGTAATAGGTACAAATGGAGATATACGTAGAATTTGGCTCATTTCTGGGCTCATTAAATGTGGCTTATTTCTGGCCTCATCTGGCAAAATGTCCTTCTGGGTCATATGAAATTTTTAGAAAACTTTTTAAAAATCTGCCAAGTTTATTTAGCAGAATTTATAATTCATTAATAAACTAAGTATGGAAACCTTCCACTGGTCGGGTGGCCGAGTGGTTAAGGCGATGGACTGCTAATCCATTGGGGTTTCCCGCGTGAGTTCGAATCTCATCCCGATCGGACCCCTTTGCAAATTCAAATAACAATAATGTTTCCATTCCAAACGTTAACGACTTGTTTTCCTTTTTAATTACTCCATCTAATCATAATTATTATAGCTCTTAACCCATTTTTGATAACAATTATCATTTTATTAGTTCTTTTGAAAACCAATAAAATGTCTATAAAAATGCTTTGATGGAGAAATTAACTGTGTAAATTAAAAAGTAACAAATTGTTTCGAAAAAATAAACAAATATTTTGTTTTTAGTAAAATGTTTAAAAACTTATAAAAACAAAGGTATTAGATATTGTAATTAAGGGATTGATACTTAATTAACTCTCGACTTTCGAAAAAAAGGAATGAAATGGACAAATATAGGAGAGATGAAAAATTCTCGAAGAAATTGATAAATCTCGAAGAAAAGAAAAGATGTAAGAACCTATGAATAAGAATAAAACGAGTAAAAATTGGAATAATCTAATAAAATAAAAATTTTAAATATATAAAATCATAGAACTTAAATACGATATATATCGAATATCAAATGATATGACTTACGCTTATCATTTTCACGTTTCTGGTATCGTTTATGAGAGACAAAAGATATGATATTTCAAAAAAACAGGAATTTGTTCATCAATCAATCAATCATTAATTGATTAATTCGATCAATCATTGACAATGACTGTTTTCTTAATTTTTGAAATTATTTTAGAATAAATTATTAAATGATACGAACGTTAAGGAAGCATTTGAAAAAGATCTAAAGTATAGAAAATATTTGAAAGATGAAAAAGTTATTTGATATGATTAAATAAATAATATAAAGAAGATAAGTGATATATAAAAGGATAACAATATAATTATCAAATTATGATAACAGAAAAGGAAAGAATTTTAACCATTTTAAATGATATAAATAAGTTAAAAATAACATCTAGTTAACATATATACTTCTCAATAAACTTTATGATTCATGCCAAACTATTTATCATTCCCATAACAAGTAATTCTGAATCCGATGACTAATACAAAATAAGATACGTATTAGTTATTAATATTTCTGATCATAACTATTATCATAGACGATGATCATCATATCTTCAACTTTTCATATTACTCACCGATTTAACACACATTAATTTTTTTAAAGAATGCATTTAGCAGAATCGAGAAACATTTTTAAGAATGCATTTTGCATTATCTGAAGTTAACTGACGGTGAGCTTCTCGTCCGATGTGATTAAATTTCTGTTTCAATATGAATTCCGAAGATTCTACACCAGAAGCCTGGCCAGACTTCGCATTCAATTATACTCATTCAGTACAGGTATAAAATTGTTTTTCTTTAGAGACCGGTTAGATATAACTATTATCATAGAAAATCTAAAACTGAATCAATCTATAAATATCATCCTTCAATGTTATGATGCTACTTTCAATAATCAAGAAAGTCAAATGAATCTATAACATTTATTATACTTATTATTTCTTCCTTTTATCTTAGCTATTTTGATACATAATAATTATATTACAGTTTGCATCAACAAATGAGACATATGCAAATGAAAACGATGATGCAGTTACTGTGATATATATAACAGTGGCAATAATTTATTTTTGCTAATGCAGGTTGCATACTTGATTTATCAAAATCTATATACATGGTCTGCAGTTATGCAAGCAAAACATCTCAAAATGCTTCGTGATCGAGAATATGTTCTACTCAGAGCATACAAACGAGAAATGCAATTCAGTAGATTGATGCAAGAGATAGCGGAAGATGAAGAACAACCTGAAGAAGCAACTACTGAATGAAATGAAATAATTTTGATTTTTATTGTTCAGACATATGATGCCTTTATTACATTCAATAAAATATAAATTAATGATATTAACAACTATTTGACATAATCCTAAAACTTGAATATAGAGTATATTAGCTAGAGATTTAGTTAACAATCATTTCTTTCTCTCGTTCGTTTGTCCTCGTTCTGCATCATTCCATTAAGAGATAAAAAAATAATCAGATCAAAGATTTAACCGCAAATATCTTCATAGTTCAAAAATTTCACTTTGAGTCGTGAAAATATTAACAGAATTGTCATTCCTCAATAAAATGTGAAACTTATAAAGCATTTTGCTTTTCGCCTTTCAAAAGTCCTTTATCAACTTTCGAACGAAAAGCGAAAAACCAGAATAAAAGATTATCAAAACAGCCATCATATTTGGTAGTAGAGGAAATTTCAAAAGCCTCTCTAAGCGCATAATATATTGCTTCAATTGTGGCGAGATGATAATCCGACAACCCTCGCTGCAAACACCATAAAAATCGAAAGCATTAAACGAAAATTATTTTTCTTTTAAAGGAATACTGCAATGATCTGTAAAAACACACAGGCATTCGCTGCCATTTTGCAAACGAAAAAGATAAACATAACGATAAACTCAAATATCCAATATTTAAAATTCAACCTGGGGTCGCCAGTATTTTGTTTTGTAAGATCGTAATGTTACGATAGGAAGATGTTGTAACTGTGATAATAACTTCAATCCCCAATCTAAAAAAACTATTGATATCTATCAAATTATTTAAAAGAAAAAAGAAATACCAGAAAAGGACAGAAATTAAAATTTATTTGTTTTCGATAGAATAAAATATTTTAAGCCTTAAAAAAAAGACCTGAAATTATTACTGTAAAAAGAACAAACAAATGAAATATTACAAAAGAAGACCTGAAACCATGTTGAGTCAAGAAAAACAAAACGTCTAATAGGACCTCGTTTCTTGATAAAATCGTTGATTGAAAGGGCATTTTCGGAGTAAACGACCAATACCTGCAAAATGCATAATTTACTTGCAAAAGAAAGTTTACTTTTATTATTTTTCAAGTGCAAGTATAAATTAATGAGTGAAGAATTTTTATTGCCAGTAAATTGCAAGTAATAAGACCATACGTCAAGAATCAGAATCAGACATTAAGAAAATGATATATCAAAGTTAAAGAGAATACCGTGTTTTCCTCTTTGTAGTTCGGAAGGTTATAATCGGGTGCGTTAGATGACTCATATAGTGTAGTAGAAGATGGTGCAAGAAGAAGACAGTGCAAAGCGGTACTTTTACTGTTCTTTTCTTGTGGATGTTTGATAATGTCAATATGGATTGGCAGCTGAAAATTATATAATACAAAATAAGGTCATTTTTCTATTTAGGTGATAATTAACAGATAGTGATATTATCACACAAGTAACATTATTATCACTATGCTTGAAAGTAATTAAATTAACATATTGCCAAATTAAGAATTCAACCTCCAGTCGTGGGACTAATTTCTCCATATTAGGCATATAAATTTTGCAGTTGTAGCAAAAATACATTCGTTTCCGGCCACAATTTGAACATATTTGCTTCTTCAAACCTTCCAAATTATTCAAATTCGATATTTTCAAGTATTCCATGTCATTTGTCGAGAGCTGAAATAAATAATAAAAAAATGAATGATATTTTTAGGAAGTTTTAATACTTTTAATATTACTTTCTTAGCAAAAATAATTGTATCTTTCAGCAAAGATAATTAATAAAAAATGTTGTGTAATTTTCCTTTTAATGCCAATTCATTCAGTTTATTATTAAGATAATAATTCTCATTTTAATAGCCATTAAAGAAGGTACACATCATTAAGTCGTATTTTAAATGCCAAATTTTAGCAATATACTAACTTATTGAGAATAAAACATTATTATCAAATCTTTTCGACATTGGACATGAAAATGTTTATATGAAAATAAATTTCTATATAAAATTATCATATAATGTAAAATAATCAATTTCGAACCGATATAAACTTATTCAGCAATTGTCCAAACTTATTTGCCGAAAGTATTCATGGATTGCAGTAAAGCTCACAGAAGCACTATTGAGGTTGATCTCAAATTTAAACTCAAATTCGATTGCTGCAGATCAATTAATTAGAGAATTCGATATTACGAAAAAACATCCCTCCATTCTGCATTACAGAAAAGAATCTCTTCATGATATACATGGAACCCAACGCAAAGCTTTCCATGATATGCCTAATAACTTAGGACTGATGTTTTATTTCATGTCTAATAAGTAAAATCAGGCATTCTCTCGATACTTTGTTTGGAACTAATGCATTTGATACCATCGAAAATTTTATCGGTACATGCAAAACAAGCACATTCTGTTAATGCAATACAAAACTGTTTGAAAAAACCATAAAATTCAATTCTTTGAATTAAAAACTTCTTAAAATCGAAGTAAATTTGAATCAGAGAAAAGAAAACGAAGAAAAAAATCTTCAAATGGAGGAGTCACACACAGAAAATAAATTACTGCCAAATCATAATTTTAGAATTCCTTACAAAATCATAAAAATGAAATTTTTTGTACTCTTCAAAAGTTACGGAAAATAACATAAAGTTTCGATGTTTATTTATTTACCAGCAGTAGCTTCTGCTGCTCGTCGTAGTGCAGCACGTTTCCCTACCATAGCAGTAAACCCACTTTTGATTGCTGTAACGGAGCATCGACTACCACAGGTTTTACATTCCAAGAAAAATAAACGAGTATCTTTCGTCAATTCTGTTTCAGAGGACCTACACGTATGACAAGTAACATACTCTTTAATGTACTTGCGCAAAACACTTTCAATATGCTTTTGCTGAAAACGACCTTTAACAATTAAACAGCTGTTGCCATCAATTGAACCTGTTGTACCCAATTCTGCCAGCAAGAATTGCAGTACATGCTTCGGCTGTCGTTTTAGCAACCGACAAATTTCGGCAAAATTAGCGAACGCTGTCTTTTTGCTACCAGCACGAGCCACTTGAGGTGGCTTCATCACGAATTTCTTCTTTTCACCGGCCGCCAATTCTGGATTCTTCTCACGCATTATACCGAAAACCAATTCCAGTAGTTGCTCATACGTATAGTCAGGCCATGCATGTTTCGAATCAATAAGATTTGATAAACCAGCACCTACGGCAACTTCAG